ATACCATATTTCGATGCAGCCAGTCAACATCAGTGATCTATTGTAGGCCAAGCAGACAGTCGCACTGAGTCAAACGGCATCCGGCTACACAACACAAGATCCACAGACTCTGAACAACAACAAACCAGATAAGCTCTCCTGCTCGTCTCATTCTTATCCAAGTAACAAACATGAACACATGTCCTCCATGTGCGCTTGTTGAATGAGCGACCACACAAACAAAGATTCACAAGGGAAAAGAGCACTGCTATCGTACTCTGCTGCAGCACGTAAAACAGCATGTAAACAAACCTGCAAATGTCACTTTGGTCTGGTCACTTGCTGGTAGGTCGTTACTCTTAAATACCACTAACGACAAGCTGTCTCTTAACATTTCTGATGTTTACAATACACTGTTTTTCATTCATGCTAAGTACTGTTGTCCCCGTTTGACTTGCTGTCACTCTTCCCACTGTTTTGCACAGATGTGAAGTCAGAGAACAGACGACAAACAGAGATGTAGAGCAAAGATTAGAGTTTAGATAGAAACCACAGATCAGGTGTAAAAAGAGACTCACTGTTAGTGTAAAGACAAACCACAGCAGGTTTTGTGGAAGGATGATTTACTTACAGGAAGTTGAGAAGATGACTGCTGCATTCTTCATGAGCAGTTTTGGGATAAAACATTGAAAGTTACGGCTGTAATGTGTCTGACCTTCGTCCATGAAAGCTTATCCCAACACTGCAGATAATTCAATGCTAAACTTCTTTAAAAATGTCCTTTTCTCGTCTAGAGCGTCACAGGTTTTGGAAGACAGATGATTGAACAAACCAAACAACTGGTAGAGTCCAAGTACACCATTGCCAATGGTTATCAAGGTGATGCCAAGGTGAGGCATACATGCGTCAGTTCTGACCCAAACTCTTCTTTTTTGATGAAATACTGTTTATGGAGTTTTGAGCGGACTGTAGGACCTACTATCTGATGGTGTCAATGGACCTGCTTTGTGTCCGTGTTTACATTTTATTTTTGTTTAATCTTTCAAAGGTTATTTATGGGGATACAGATTCCGTCATGGTTAAGCTTGGAGTTGCCACAGTGAGGGAGGCCATGGATATTGGCACGGAGGCAGCAGAGTGGATATCGTCCCATTTCACACCGCCCATCAAGCTGGAGTTTGAGAAGGTACCGTTCCCGTCGACATGATTCATCAAAGCACTTGTTCGGGTCATTTCATGATCTGTGGAAGTTGTTGATTGAGCACTTCTGGCCCGAGTGCATCTTTGAGAATCAGAAACTGTTTCAAAATGTAAGAGATTTGGATTTGGGAGCACAGGAGAGATGGAGCATCCTCTCAGCTAACGAGAGCTTATCTTTGTCACTTCCACAGGTGTACTACCCTTACCTGCTGATCAACAAGAAGCGTTACGCAGGCCTGTATTTCTCCGGCAGTGCAGACACGCATGAGAAGATGGACTGTAAAGGCATTGAAACTGTCCGCAGAGACAATTGCCCTCTGGTGGCTAACCTTATCAACACCTGTCTGCAGAAAATCCTCATAGACAGGTACACACACACACACACACACACACACACACACATTGTACATAATGCATTATCAGTTCAATAGTAACTTCATACATTTTCATGTTTTTTTAAAATTTAATTTGTACATACTTAATAAAAATCCATTTTTAATCGTGTGATGTAAAATTGTAACGGGAGATTTTTTAACTTTTCAAACTTCATGATTCTGCAACTATTTAATTTTATATCTAAACTTATCGTCAGATGCTGAATCTTAACCACACGTTGCAATGTATCCCCATACAACAGTTTGTATGACATCTTACACAATGATTGTTTAGCAACGATCAGTGCGCTGGCACAATCCTCTGCAGTGTTTACGCAACAAAACTACTTTTTTAGTATTTTGAAATTATGGCAATTTGGGTTTAAATAGCTGGCATTACTTTATTAAGGAAGTTAAGTGACAAGTAAGTCAATGTTGGTCGATGCTGGTTTCACGCAGGACATGAATAGCGAGCGGTCTTCTGGGTAAAAGTTCAGTGTTTTTCTGGATTCTCATGATCAAGAAAATTTTCCAGGCACTGAAATGGTTTTAAATTTAGAGAATAAGTGTTAAAGTTATAAGTTAAATATTATGAAAAATGTGTGGAAACCCTGCTTTTTACATCCACCCTGACCTGTCCATACTGACTTCATCGCTCTTTATACTACGTCGCCTGTCCTGGCTCACGATTATGTGAAATACATACTGTAAGAATTGATTGCATGGGTTACATGCGAATTATAGTGCATTACGCTTCGTAGATATTGCTACGAACGTTGTGTGAGAACAGCCTGCACAATTCATTTGTTATGAAAATAATCACAGCTGATGGTATGTTTCGTCAGGGATCCCCAGGGTGCTGTGGCTCATGCTAAAGAAGTGATCTCGGACCTACTGTGCAACCGCATCGACATTAGTCAGCTCGTCATCACCAAGGAGCTAACGCGCACTGCCCAGGAGTACGCTGGCAAACAGGCGCACGTGGAGCTGGCTGAGAGGTCTGCTCATTTCAAATAATACTGTGTGTGTGTGTGTGTGTGTGTGTGTGTGTGTGTGGTGGTATGGGGAAAATGACCCATTAATATGGATGTTTTACAGGATGAGGAAAAGAGATGCTGGCAGCGCCCCAAACCTGGGAGACCGAGTTCCATACGTCATCATTAAAGCTGCAAAGGGAGTCGCAGCATACATGAAGTCAGAGGTGTGGAGTGTTCTCCTTCATTGTCTAAATAACTTGATTTCATTTGTGCATTGTAATGTTTAATCTCCATGATAATCGCGATTCTTCCGCATGTCATTCAAGGACCCGATCTTTGTGCTGGAGAACAACATTCCCATCGACACACAATACTACCTGGAGCAGCAGCTGTCCAAGCCCCTGCTGAGAATATTTGAGCCCATCCTGGGAGAGAGCAAGGCAGAAAACGTCCTGCTCAGTAAGTCTTCAAACACACATTATAGTTATATATTTTTACAATTACGGCAATTAGCGGACACAATTCTTTTCCTCAATTACTTATTTGCATTTTAGTGAAATTATCTGAATTTTTAAACTTTTAGATATGACTTTTTGTGTTGGTCATTATTCCTGACATTTTAAAGTGTAACTTAAAATAATTTTACATTTTTATAATCTGTAGATTGATCATGTGCAGACATCTAATGGGTGATATATAACCTTGCCAGCTGCACAGTTTTCATAAAGAAACTCATAAAATACTCTCGTGTCCCAAAAGAAGTAATCTAGATATGCTTGGTAAATAAATGTCACTAAGCATGAATTCTCTTTCCAAGTTTTAAAAGCAATTCTCTGGTATCTTTCAGAGGGCGACCACACGCGCTGTAAGACTGTGTTGACCTCGAAGATCGGGGGCCTCATGGCATTTGCTCAAAAGAGGAGCACTTGTATCGGCTGCAAAGCCGTGCTCAAGACGGATGGTGTGTGTGATCAGAGTTTTAAGATATTTCTTTGTTTTCCTCTTTCTTTTATTAAGTGAGGCTTTATTGAAGCTTTTTTTCTGGGTGGGAGCGATGATGAAGAACTTTGTGTGTAACTTCTAACATGTGTCATTGTAGCGGCTGTGTGCCATTTCTGTAAGAGGAAGGAGTCTGAACTGTATCAAAAGGAGGTAGGAAAGATGGCTTTATACTTTAATATGTTGATTTTCTTCACTAAAAGGGTTTATTTAAATACAGTCCCAGCTCTGACTATATTAGAAGATTTAATGTCTTGTTTTTTATCAATGGTTGTCTGTTGTTAATCATCATAATGCCCTCTGGTGGCTCCTCAGAGCTCAGGGAATTCATTAAATATAATATATTGAAGTAGATTAAGCAGAACGCCTATTTTAATATCAAATTCTACTTTTTTACTTTGAATTGTTTTGGCTGCTGTAGACTCGTGTGCTGTTCGAGAAAAGCACAATTTACTTAAGAATTAAGGGGTTAATATCTGAAAGCAAACATAACTTTCCCCCTTCGTGTCCAATGACTTTCTAACATTACGCTTTTTCATTGCAGATCTTTCACCTGAGCACTCTGGAGGAGCGCTTCTCTCGCTTGTGGACTCAGTGTCAGCGTTGTCAGGGCTCCCTACACGACGATGTGCTCTGTACCAGGTACATGTACATCATATGCATATATTTACTGTAACTGTGTGTTAACTGCAGTATTATGCCCAAGTACACAATAACACTGTCCCCCCCTGACTCCTCTACAGTCGGGATTGTCCCATCTTTTACATGAGGAAGAAGGTCCAGAAAGACTTGGATGACCAGAGCATTCTGGTCAATCGTTTTGGATGGTGAGAGGCGCACACGCTCATTCCTTACGTGCCTCATTTCAGATGACCAAGGACTCTTATTGTCTCGCTGTATTTTTCTTCCGTGTCTTTTGGTGCTTGTAAATATTCTTATATATCACAATATTTCTATGTTTTCTAATATGAATGTAATGACGTTATGTAGTTCTCCTTTTGTAAAATAAAATCAAAAAGCAATCTATCCCTTTTTGGTCGTCATGTATGATCATTAGAATCACTGCAAAAATTTGAAGTGACAAAATTGACAGAATAAAGAACCACAGTGCTGTTGAACACACCAGACAGTAAATGTACATGTGATGTGTACTGTATGCAAAGAGGTCTAAGGTGTATAGTAACTATACATTCCACCATCTTAATTTGACATCAAGGTTAAAGTATAAACTTTTTCAGAAATGAAAAAAATCAACTTCAGTGCCATCTTCTTCACATTGTCTCAGTCAAGCCTTAAACATTCCTTCATGTCGCCACTGATTTGGTACTTAGTACTGAAGGTCGAATATACACACATTTTCTGCTTAGTGTGTTGAGAAGTTCTTGTGTATTGCATTTTATTTTGAAAAATCCTTTAACCTCTTGAACATCTTGCATGTGAAGATCCCCGTTAGATAAACAGACGAGACATAAAAGCTGAAGACATTTAATTGTTCATTACAGCAGAGTGCATTAAAGATGTTACATTGCTGTCAGTGAGAGACTCGTTAAAGGTTTAACATTTAACAATGGAACTGAATTAAGTCCAGATTAAAAGACATTTGGAAGCTGCTGGTAGTAGGAACACTTCATGGATGGGTTCACCTCTGTTAGCAGTTGAAGTTTTATATAATCTTAGTAAATACATGGACAAAAGTTTCTTAATGCAGAGGTTAATAAATTGGGTGACTGTAATGCTACAAAAATATAAATTTCATCCACAACATTGAGTGACGGTAATTATGAAAGAAGACAAACACTGCTATAAAAACAACTGATGCCCTAATATCCTCATCAAGCATTATCAGATAACACAAGTGAGCTCTAGAGATTTCCCAGGTTGTCAAACACTGGTTTCAGCATCAGTGGTCTTTAAATATTGAATGTAATACCACAAAACCACCACCAACACTGACATACATAAAACCTGCATTTAAAGCTGGCCTTTGTTCCACACACACACACACACACACTGTATTCCAAACAGCAGGGCTGACACTTCAAACAGCAGGTCAATGATGGACAAAGACATCAGATCTCAGAGCACTCAGGAATATGGTGTTTTATCAGAACAACAGACAGTCAACTTTTTGAATGGTACCAACTAATCCTTAATCTTTACCACTAAACGCATAACAGGAAATGATAAAGTGCACCTAGGAGTCTCGAACACAATTTTGAGGCTTTGTTACGGCGGTGATCCTCTCCTGTTACAGCATTTTCATTCGCACATGGTGAGAGAAAAAGAAGAAAAAAAGGTGTTGCTGTTGTGTGTCAAGCAACAGAGGACACAATCACCTATGAACAACATTAGGGGAAGATGGATGTTTTCAAACTTCCAAAAAGTTTTAACCAATCACCTGAAAGCAAAATGTTTTCACATTAAAAACGGTATCCTAGAATACGTGACATCATTTCTGTTATTAGGGGGGGATAAGATATGAACCAAGCATCACAAATATTACCTCTCTAAATAATGCTAGAACAATTTAGAAGATTTGGAACTGAATGTGCCACCCGATGTGACCGTACAAAGTGCAGTGACGCACCACCATGGACCCCTGACCGCTGAACAGTCAACAGGAACGGTCTGCAACACTGGCGTGACACACTTGACAGACACTGCATATCTTGTGGTGACATACTGTAGGTGGAAACTGTGACAGCAGCATAAAGTGGATTTAGATACTTCTGCTGCCCCGTCCGGAGCTGTGCTGGACGTCTCCGACGTGACAGAGGAGACAGGAGAGTGTGAGGACGAGCGTGAAACAAGTGCTGTTAGGGATGAGCTGATGTGTGTGTGTGTGTGTGTGTGTGTGTGTGTGGCTATAGTATAATGCAACGTCTCTGAGTCTTCTTCTTGCTCTTCTTGTTGCTGCGGTTGGTCTCCTTATATTTTCTAATCTCCCGTACTAGTGAATAAAAAGCTTCCTCTACACCCTGCAACACAGAGACAGAAACATATTGTCACACACAAAAAATGAAGATGAATGTCTGTAATGATCTGTGATTAAAAGTGTTATTTCAGACATTGATTTTGCAGATGTCTTATTGAACACAAGAGCGACTGTCTTTCCTAAGTACCTGTCTGGTTTTGGCAGAGGTCTCGACAAACGGTACTCCGTAGCTTCTAGCCAGCTCCTGGGCCTGCCGTGACTCCACCGTGCGGGTACTCAGGTCGCTCTTATTCCCCACCAGGACCATGGGAACACTGTCGCTGTCCTTCACCCTGTTGATCTGCTCTCTGAGGAGCACACAAATGCAGAAGCACATAAGATACCGAGGCCACCCTTCTTATATCTTTGCAACACCTAATATTTTCTTCAATATTGTTTCATGTGTTTGGATCAGTTTAAACATGCGAGCCAGATTCTGCACCACAGGACTTTTAAGCACATGTGATGATATGTGTTACAGAATCCAGCAACAAATTGGTCAAAAACTTAATGAGAAATTGTATTACAGACTCGTCACTGGAGGCGTGTAACCCTCAACCACGAAGCCTCTTGTACCTATACAGGTGGACGTCCTCAAAGGACTTGGTGTTGTTGATGGCAAACACACAGAGGAAGCCCTCTCCTGTCCTCATGTACTGGTCCCTCATGGCGCTGTACTCCTCCTGACCTGCAGTGTCCAGGATGTCCAACAGACACGTCTCTCCATCGATCACCACCTGCTTTCTGTACGAGTCCTGGAACACAACATTGACATGATCACACGGGCGGAAAACAAAAACACGTCTGTCAAGAAATCTGACACATGATTGCATCATGGACTTTCCCATGTTTATTTTACAGTCACACTGCTGCATCTTGCAGCAACAACACCTTGTTGAATGAGACGTTTTGTATAAACCTGCAGAAACGTATTTAAATAGAGATTTACAAACAATTTGTGGGGATTTTTAGGCGACAATGTGAGAAAGATAAGAGATTACTCAGCAGAGTTACAAGTGTTGATTTATATTCGTTAGTGGAACTTATTTTAAACTAATGAGGGCCAACAGGAAAGCAGTTTGCTTTTATAGGCTTTACCATTTTAAATAAACTTTTAGAAGGTTATGATCTGGATTCGGCTGCATATTGAATACTTTTCCTATATAAGTACATTTATCTTCGTTAGGTTTTAATGTACTTCTACTTGTAATGGAGTATTGTATTGCTACATTTATTTAAGCTATTTATTGTGTCATGCAAATACAAATGGCCAGCTCACGCTGACCTGTGAGATAAGGAGATCATAGAAGTTAGAGAAGAACACAACTTCTTACATATAACTTTAAAATGCAAACAAAGAACTTTAAGACCAAGCTTCACAAATGAACTATTAAAAAGGTCATGGAAGGATCTGAGTACTTCTTTCATGAGGGAGAATCACATCATATCCTGTGGATTGTGTTTGTCCCCGAACAGGGTAATAAATATGACTTTGCAGTGTTTTACTATCCAAACCTTCCAAGCCACATAAGAGAGAGTAACTCCCATTGATGAACACATAACACTGACCATGTAGTTGTTCGCACTAAACTTTACGCAGGGTGTCTAATGGCTCGTCTCTCACCTCGATGGTTGGATCGTATTCATCCACGAAGTGGTTCTGGATGAGCTGGATGGTGAGGGCGCTCTTCCCCACACCTCCTGCCCCGACCACCACGAGCTTGTACTCGGTCATGCCTGCACAGGATTAAACCAACAGGTCGCCGGGATTTCACATTAGCAGAGCATCAAGTGAGCGTGAACAAATCAAAACCAGTGGGTATTGCCCTGTTCCTCCCAACACAGACATGCCGAAGCGACTGACCCAGATTTCAGGATAACGTTCCCACCCGCTGCCGTTAAGTCTTCCTCATAGTTACTGAATGTGCATGAACGCTGGCGGTAGAACTCTTTAAAGGTACTTACCTCGATGTAGGGTTTATAACCGTGTGTGAAATGATAGGTTTACGGAGAGATAAATGAGATTAGCTCGCTACATAACGTTAGCCTGAGACGATTTCCTTATTCAAAACACTTGTAGACAAACTTCAGGATCTGTCTGCAACTTGTTTTTCTAGCTAGCAATAGGTGTCAAAACCATTAATTGAGAAGCTACTCGAACAAATCTTACTTCATTTAATGAATAAATTAAAAGCCTGAATTCGATCGAGTTCCTATTTAGTCTCCATTGTAGCTCATTGAAAGCAGCGTTGTCAGGTTAATCCCCCCGTCGTCAAACAACCAATGAAACGACGGCATACTGATAGACGTCGTAACAAACCAATCACAGGGAAGTTCCAGTTTGTAGCCCCGCCTACAGCTAGCAAATCCGTCCAATCATAAAGAAGAGTAGCCATAATTGGGCGTGGCCTCTCAGGCAAACTTTTTTCCTCTCCCAGAAGACGTTCTTCTTAACCCTAAATATATCTATACTGATACATTTACATATTTATTTATATATTTTTACAATGTTGTAATGTGATACAGCTCTGCTCACATATTTCCGTACACTAGTAGATATTTACTTATTGTACGTACATTGTTTTTGTGTTGTGTTTCACAGTTGATTGGGAAATGTAAACGTATGACGCCAATACATTCCTTTTGTATTTTATTTTATTGAATATTGCAATCATACTCATGCAAATACTAATTGAATCTGTCTCATAAAACCCGTTTAAAACTTTACGAACAGCTCTACAATCATTTCTATCATTGTGAATGTGAATTACCCACCTTGATTTACCCATCGGGCTTTTATTTTTGAAATACGTTTGGCGGAAGTGTTAGTATTGCATTATGTCTAACTTGACACCTGCTTGTCGCTTGGTGGAGTTTACATGAGTCCGTAGTTAGATTGATTCTTCACTGCCCTCCAGTGGTCACAGTGCGCACTACAAAACTATCAATACGGTCAACCAACTATTACAAATAACCACGGCAATATAACACCATTAATAAATAATAATAATAGTATTTTTGTTGCTGGTCTAACGACTGTTTTCTGGTGTGGAGAACAGATCAACATTCTAGAGATGTTCACACCGGAAGTCAAGATATTATACGGTTGAGTTTATTTAAAATCACGAGTTTGTGTTTGGTGCCCTCTAGTGGTTAAAGTCAAGAACTACATCACTTAAATAAATTTCGTGGCTCTTAATGTAATGACAGTACAATCGTTATTAATATCACTGTGGTGAATCAGCTTCAAAGCTGTATGGTCCGTAGCTTGTTTGAGTAGCTTGAGTATAAAGATACATGTGTTTATCGCCATCTAGCGGTTGCAGTGAAGAACTGCAACACTATATTGAATTCGTCACTTCCGGTGAATCTTTTCAAAATAAAAATTAACTGAATCGTTCAGAAACAAACGAACAGAAAATCGCCTTATCTTCTTGTTTTACTTACTTTGAGTTTGAGTTTGAGTTTGAGAGAGAGAGAGAGAGAGAGAGAGAGAGAGAGAGAGAGAGAGAGAGATCATACCCCACCCTCTGGTCCCTCTTCCTCCATTTCCTTGTCTGTGACGTCCATGTTTCCCACTGAGTGCATCTGCTCTCCTATCTAATCTTTGCCTAAAATCACAGAGATAATCCTGCAACCATCTGTCCCGAGAGAGAACAGAATACTGACATTGCACCCATGATGTTTAAAAAAAAAAAAAAAAACTGCACAAATTGAATGCAGCATTATACTATAGGTGATAAATCCGGATGACATGATTGTGTTGAAATAGTGACCTCATCTTAAATTGCTTACCTTTTATTATACACAAGGATATCTCACATATACATCTTTTATACATAGAATATTTTCCAAATGTTTGCCTTTTTAAATATGATCGTTTCCTTTGTTATTTTTACACTGATACTCACCACACATTTCATCAAGGAGGACAAAATTGTAACAGCCATGAACTTAGACTAAGAGAAACTTGATTAAAAATACACCGATACAACACTTAAAAATGAAAACGTTCACAGGAATAATCATTCATGACTTTTAGATATTTCACTGGCAACAAAATCTTCCTTAATCCCTTATTTAAATAATTTATTGACATACAAACACATTTTACCATTAAACCCTGAATTGAATCAAATATTAGTTTTAACATTCCAGCAGTGTATTTCTCACAAGTGAGCTCAAATCACAAGCTCTCTATAAATTGAATGGAACTAGATTCTTGTCCGCAAATTTACTTTAAAAAAAGAGAGTTGTGTTTTGGCACGACCCGTGTACACGCAGAGGGCAGAGGGTGTGTTTGTGTGTGCACGGATATGTGCATGCACATCTTGTTTCATATGTGTTGGCTCTTTGTGCAGGCGCAAAGAGTTGTACTGTGCAGCTTGTACAACACAACAGTTCCTTTCCTGTATGAGCATGTTAGTGTCCTCTCAGGAGAAGCACATCTGGACTGTCCACTACATTACCCAGCTGTCAGTGCGTCTAGATGGAGCGGGTGCTGTTTTTAAAGGGCATGAGAGGAGCTGACGTGATTGGCCATGATTGGTACCAAACCTTAACACGCCCTTTGATAATGTGTGATAATACTTCCTAATCTCACTCTGTCTCCATGGGGGCTTCACAGCCATGCAAATACCAAATAGTGTGCCACCACTCCCCTGCACACTGTGCATGGTGCACTTCACTGCATGAAATGCATGATATTGGCTTACTGAGTGTGTGTTTGTGTGTAAAAGGAGGAGAGAAATGGCAGGGTAGCTACTGCACTGCTGTGCTTATTATAACACGCTCACCTCACAATGTTTCAGCACCTGCACCCAACGCAACAACACACTCACTGTCACACACACACACACACACACACACACACACACACACACACACACAC